CTTCGGCAAAGATGTACTGTGAGGTAGCGCCGGCAGCCCGGATGGCATCAATAGCCTTTTGATTTAGGCTCGCGACTACCGCGTTGTCCTCATCGTGGAACTCGTTGTTCGTGTCGAATATGACTTTACTGTTGGACGCGTAGCGCTTCGCCACTGTGGTCCACCAGGCCCCAAATCCGTCTGCATCCGTGATAATATTGTTGTAGTATCGCCCGAAGTTGTGCGGGTCGACGATAGCGTAGGCGCCCCTATTCAAAGAAGTTAATCAGGTACGTTCGTCTTGCCACCAGAGGTGTAATGCCAGCTATCAAGACTAACTTTCCAGTGATGAAGTTGACAATCTGCACAATACGGTTAGTATAAGCATACTTTGCCTAAGGTAAAGAAAAGGGGGCTTTACAGTGTCGAGACCACTACCATATGTTTCATTCACTGTCCCGGTCAATTGATTGGGGATGAGCCGCTCCCTGGTCTCATCTTAGCACTGCATATGATTTTTAAGCTTTGAGGGTGTTTGGGCCGCGAACATCATGATGGGAATTCGGAAAGTATTCATCCCCTTGCCGATCAACGTCTAGGCATGTCAGCAGAATCAGGGCCGGTCGCCGACGATAGAGAAAACGTACGTTGATGGCATTCTGATCCGGCCACGTGTAGTCCTTGTCCAGTCTTCCGGGCACTTTGACACTCAATGTCAGTAATTGTCATATTAGGTGTATAAAAAGCTTTCGAAGCCACGGAACTCTCCAAAACATATGCTTGGTGAGGAAAAGAAGACATTCTGCTGGAAAAGTGGTGGCTAGGAACAGGAAGTATATGGCCCGAGAATTACTCACAGGCCGTGTTACCGAACTCAGCGCCAGATTCACTGGCGCCGACAAACTGGAACTTGCTCGCTCGCTTCTTGGCCTTGGTCGGCGTGGCCACTGCGCTGGCAACCGTGACCGCCGCGGTAAGGATCTCGATGAACTTCATGATGAATTTTCTGAGCGCCGGGAGGATTTACAAGATGCCGAAGGTGAGAAACCTAACCACTAGTGTAGCGATCGAGGTATTATATAGAACGCCTCAAGGGAGCCACTTGTGCTTACATGTCTTACAACAAGTCACAGCTGAGCAGATGGGAGAGGGAACGAACCGAGTCGAGGCGGAGGGCATAGCTCCGCTTCGCATAAGGGCAGGGAAGTCTATAGTAATTGCGAGAATGCAGCACCCGGCGCCGAACGGGACGTCGATGGTTACTACATGTGCGGATTTGATCTGGGATCGTGCCGACGAGCCTCATGATGGAACGTCACGGTTGACGCCATAGCTCTCATGTCTATGCTACGCTCACTGAAAGATTCGATGCTAAGCGGGATGCTGTAGCTCCACGAAAGCCACCAACAAACCACGGCGTTGTAAATGCATACTTGCGGATATGTTGAATGTTCATATCCCAGCGGGTTGAATACTATCCTCGCCATCAGCTGGGAGGCAAGTCCGGGTAACCAGGAGGCTATTCATTCCCCACGGCTTGTCTCGTAGAACCACCTCATCGTGATGTACGAAAACAGATGTCATCCCGAGCTGAGGGCGAGAAAGGAATAGCCGAATATCCAAGTGGTCTAGCCATCGACATCAACTAGACCAGCATCGGTCCTCTGGAGAGGGGGGGGGGGGGATTTGCGGGCCGTCCATGAGTAGCACAAGAAGTCTAAGCCGGAGAATGTCTTCCTTGGAGAAGAGTTTACGTTTTAGGGAAATGCAACGGAAAGGCGCAGACATATAGGCAAATACATATGGAATAAGTCATTGGGGGGGATAAACAGGAACTACCTTACCTTTAGGTAAGATGTAGGTAGGTTTGTCTGAAATACAGTACAAGTCCCTTAGATGGGGGGCCCCTGTTGCATGAAATTGTGGGGGTCGTCCCGAGTTTAGCCTCAGGCTCCTGTGTCAGGTGTTATCGAGTCGTCAGTGAGAAGATCGGTCCGGCAGCCAAGGAATTCTCCGATAATGCACTTATCGCGATAACGTAGGTATCCAGATGCGACAGGGCAATCGTCGGATTGGTTAAAGAAATAGGAAGCAAGCATCAAATATCTCTCTCACGACATCGCCGTCGCATAGTTCCATAAGATGCAGCCCACGCGGTGTCTGCTCAAGGGCCGATCCGTGTGGAAAGGTGAGTTCTTATCCCACTTCCCGCCTCGCCTAAGAAGACAGCGGGAATCTATCCAGCTACGTCTTGAAGCATTCGTGCTAACATCCTACTCAGGTCCTCATATCGTCCCGTAAGACAACCCCCGATTCCCTTTACTCGAATGAAATGCACAAAGAAGACACAACCGAGATATATACGAGAATACCTTGCAAGATATCTGACTTCTTCCTCCACCATCTCGCAGACTTCCCCTCGCGCGCCCCAAACCCGGCGAGAAGATAAGGCCCATCAGGACACAAGCCCGCGCCGCCACCATCCTACCCAACTTCGTCGGCCTCAAGTTCCAGGTGTATAATGGCAAGATATATAACGACGTGACCATCACCGAGGACATGGTCGGACACAAGCTGGGCGAGTTCTCTCCGTGCGTAACCTCCCCCTCCCACGATCCGATTTCTCTCCTGTCTCTTCGTACTATATCGCTTCCGTATCCATATTATGTGTGCCAAGCTAAATTTTTTAAATCTATTGCTCGATAGGACACGGAAACCTTTTGTCTGGGCTCGAGCGAAGTAAACAGATTGAGCATAAGGCTCGCAAAAACATACGATTATAGAGACATGAGGGGTATATAAGCGGAAGATATGTGTACAGCATAGTCAAGGGCGTTTTATGTATTGGCACTGGAAGCGAAATCGTGGCGACGGTATTGCACTGTCGAATCGCTTCTCCGATGTACACTATACACACTACATCAAAACCTAAAATGTGAAACATGACACGTTAAAGACTACAGGACCAGCAGGTTCTTGGTAATCATTTTGCTTTTCATATGCGTTGGCTCTTACGGTTTTATACATAAAGAATTTTCGTAAACTACCTAGGTAGGCAGCCCCTTGCCCTTCCTGAACAGGCCCCGACCATGCTTTAGTCAGCCGTTGTGAAATGTAGTATGCCCTTTGTAAGCCCTGAACGCCGTACGCCTCTCTAGGCCGCAACTGAGAAATGCCCTGAAGTAAAATGCATGGATGAAGCCCAACCGTGTTCGGAACATCAAAATTCTCTCGGAAGTCTCATGAAGAACTGGTTGGGGTTGGTAGCACTGCTACAAACATGCTGATGAATCCCCCGTCTACCGGTAGAACTCGCTACGCTTGACGTTGACGCCGTACTCGCCGACGGCCATCCCGAGATCCTCCATCGTGAGGACAGTGCGGTTCTGACTGCCGCCCTGGCCGCCACCGCCATAACCGGCTCTCTGGATACCCAACGGCGCACCTCGTCCCTGGTCCTTACCGCCCGCGGGGGCTTGTCCCGGGACGGCGATACCGGCGGCTGCGCCGAGATTCCCCATCGGGTTGTTTGCGCTCGTGTTGGACGCCCGGATCCGACTGTACTGATACGCGTCGGCGGCGACGTCGGCGACGAACTTCTGTACGGCGAGCGCGATGAGGCGCGCGAGGCGGGGGTCTGTGTGTGGTGGAGGGGGGAGCCCGGCCTTCGTCATGTAGTAGTTGGTCACGGCATCTGGGATCTTTGGGGCAAGTACCCTGGTCAGATTACATATGCTACGAAAGGGAGAGCGGAAATAGTCTGGGAGAAGGGAGGAGGGAGGAGGGAGGAGGGAGGAGGGGGAGCTTACAATGGGCGCATAATCATCCATCTTGGATAGGAATTCCTTGAGCGATGTGTCCTTCTTGCTCGCTAACTTGGCCTCTACTGGCACGGGGTGGTGCTCTTCTTCGGTTTGCGGTGCAGTGCCCGATGGGACTTGCTCGTTCTCGGTCGGTGCACTCGCCATGGTGTGAGAGGGCTATGGGCGGTGTATGTATGAGATATATTCTGTGAAAGACAGGAGCCGCACAGCGCGGACGGCTTCAGAAGTGGAAAAAGTATTGTGTTGGTTGGTGATGTGAATTGGCAGTTCTTTGGCTGTCTCGCTGCGGAGATGCGGGTTGCGGAGGTGTAAGTCGCGGTAGTTGCCCCGAGTTTGTATGCGCGCGCAGAGACTCAAATCATCTGAGAAGGAAGATGAGAGCTCGAAAAGAGCCGATTTGGCCCCGATTGTATCTTTTCGCTTGAATAGGCTGCCGGCAAGAATTGATGCTGACTCGTGATTGCTGGCCAAGTTGTGGTTGATTGATCGTATGATGGAAGTGCGGTTGATGATGATGAAGTTTGAGAGATGATGCTGGTTGGCGAATTAGCGAGTCGCCCCAGATATGTGTGGGGACGGATTGGCTGGGGTGGCTTCATTTAAGCTGTGGTCTGTGCGCCTAGGAAAGCCGATGAAAGGCCAGGGGTCTTCAGGTACTGACTTTTGATTGGTCAGGGAATGCACAGGCTTCGAGCGTCTTAAACTTGCGCAACCCATTTTCACATGGGCTGGAAAAAGCAAAAAAGACACAGAAAACGTATCCAGAGTAGGTGATGTGGTCCGAAAGAGAAATTAATTATGCTTTATCATATTAGGACGCCTCTACCTTAACTTAGCACATATCTATATAATGCATTGAATTGTACTAATAACCATATCTATAAACCCGTCTCGCATGTTAGCAAACGCCATAATGCTACAATACCAATATGCTCGTAGAACAGCACGTGGCTCATGTCTCCATCTGGAATCTCTGGTTATAGAACTGGAGCTGCAGCTGCTTCTCGGCCCTTACCCCGGAATATTAGCAAACTGGAAAATCTACGCACCCAACCACGGAATGGACCCTCAATACCCTCCTCCACTCAGCTACCCACACATCTAATACGAATTCAATCCGGTCCCCATCCGCGCTTAGTTTGAGATCTCACGATAGTGACTCGCTGCTCCGTCGACAAGGAACCGATCCAGTCCGGCGGCTTGGTGGTCTAGTGGTATGATTCTCGCTTAGGGTTCACTCTATGTTTCTGGCTCAGGGCTCCGTCCTACAGCACGGCTTGCGAGAGGTCCCGGGTTCAATCCCCGGCCAAGCCCGTCTCATCGTTCTTCGAAATGCTTTTGCAACTCAAGCCACACTTTTGAACTTTAGGTCTCAGACTTACTGGGCTTCCCTGCATTTTTTACTATTGCTGCCGTTTGACAGTAAGTGGTAATACCAACACACAAGGTCTAAAGCAGATTGAAAAATCAGTGATGATCAAGGAAATTTAACCGTTCTCCATCTTTTCATGACATATTGACCGGCGAAAGAAGAGTCCCTAGGTAAGTAGAGACTCTAAGGGATAGATTACCAGGCTTCTATTCACAGTCATCATACAAAGTACGACATGACCAGGCTATAAGACACAAAAAGTGAGGTATCCTGGCGATGAGCTAATCAGGGTGTCGCAACGTTGGAGCCATCCATTGAACGATGAATTTCCGGTCAGAAGCTTTACGTTCTATGTCCCAAGGGGATAGTTTACGCTAATAAGGGAACTCTGGGTAAGATACATATTAGCTAGACCTTACCGGCTGCAATATCTGTTGAACTGGGTAAATAGATGACCTAGGTATTCTCTTTCCCTCTTTCATTTCTTCTAGGCTAGCAAGCAAATAACAGGGCATGTTAGAAGAATATGGAAGACAAAATGGTCGTTTCTTTTTTTTTGATAAATCGTCTTAAAAAAATCGGTGTGCAACATCCTGTAGCTATAAATACTTGGTTGGTAGACTGACACTTGTACCACGTGTTACTAAGCGGGTGTGACTGCAATTGTTATAGATATAGTAACACAAGCAGTGACTTCGATTCATTTTTCTTCATACTTGGGGTATTCCGGATTTTATCTCACGATTCCTGGTCTGGACATACATAGTAAGAGTTCGATGTTACAGGAAGGTCTTCTCCTCCCTCCATCTGCCCTAACTAGATTTGGCTCTTTATGCTAAATATTAGCTAAGTCTTCACATGCACAGGCCTAAACCCGACCTACTGTATACTGTACATGCATGTACATACTGCTAGTCATGTAGTGTACCTAGATTGTCGGTAGTGTGGATACCCAATTAGTACTAGGTAGTATACACTATAGGTTGCGGTACATTACCTACCTAGCTTAAGGATTTGCTTCAGCAGCCCATTCATCCTGTCTATTCATGCATTGCCCCATCATCGCTTGAAATCCATCCAAAGCTCTAGGTTTGAATTTATAGTCGTCTTAGTCTTGCGAAACCGGTTCAAAGTGTTCACTCTTCTTTTTTCTGTTGTGGTACATCGACATATTCCTTGGATCCGTCACAGTCGCCATCCATACTACCTACCTAGGCACTTACATACGGTCAGTTAAACACTGGCAAGGTTGTAAAGGACACCCCCGCGGTGCATGACCGATTCGAGCCGATTGGCCTGCTGCCCACGTGTGGTTGCTGAGACAGCTCATTTTTTTTCTCGCTCTTTCTCGTGCACCCAACCAACGAGGTGGCAGGACGCTTTGCTTCAGCTAAGGTCTGCAGGTGCTGCATCTGGCTTTATATAAGAGCATCGACTCCCGATCGTCCTGCACGTCTCTCCCCTCCTTCTTTTTGGTCACGATGGCCGACATGGCGAACGAAATCAAGCTTCTGTCTGGGAATAGCCACCCGGTGCTGGCGAGCATGGTTGCCGACCGGTAAGCTGATTGATTGATTGATTGACTGACTGATTGATTGACTGATTGATTGCCTTTGCTTCTTATCTTGTCTCGTCTTGTTTCATTTTTATTTTTCATTCTGCCGCTATTTCCAATATTTCTATTCCCTTACTTAGCCTGTGTGACACACCATCTACGGCTGTTTTCGTGGCTTGCCTACCCAACATGCCCGCTATCAATATTAACCCCCAATTTTCCGTTTGATCTGCGCAACCTACCACAGCTTAAAAGATTCAAAAGATCTCGACGCTCGCTAACAGGAGCTCTGCGCGCAGGCTGGGCGTTGAGGTCGCAAAGACTCTCAGTCTCAACTACTCCAACCAGGAGACCAGTGTCACAATCGGTGAATCCGTGCGCGATGAAGATGGTACGATGTACTCTAGATCTGCAGCCCGGCTGAACCAAATTATGGACCCCAAGGCAGCGTTCTGACTGGATATACTATTCTAGTCTTCATTCTTCAGTCGACTGCGCCCGGCGATATCAACGATGGCCTGATGGAGCTTCTGATCATGATCCACGCCTGTCGAACCGCCTCTGCGCGACGAATCACCGCCGTCATCCCCAATTTCCCCTATGCGCGCCAGGATAAAAAGGACAAGAGTCGTGCTCCCATCTCTGCCAAGCTCATTGCGAACATGCTGCAGACCGCCGGCTGCAACCATGTCATCACCATGGATCTGCACGCCTCCCAGATACAAGGCTTTTTCAACGTCCCAGTTGACAACCTCTACGCCGAGCCCAGCGTCCTGCGTTGGATTCGCGAGAACCGCGGCACTGAGGATGTCGTCATTGTCAGTCCGGATGCAGGCGGTGCCAAACGGTGAGTGCGCTTTGTTAAAGGGATAGCCAGCTACGGAGAACATAGATCTGATGTTGTTTTTTTCTCGTATAGAGCTACCGCGATCGCCGACCGCTTAGACCGAGGCTTCGCTCTCATTCACAAGGAGCGCCCGCGACCCAACGTTGTTGGACGCATGGTGCTCGTCGGAGACGTGGTAGACAAGGTCGCCATCCTCGTCGATGACATGGCAGATACCTGCGGTACACTGGCCAAGGCTGCTAAGACGGTCAAGGACCACGGCGCTGCCGAGGTCATCGCTATTGTCACCCACGGGATCTTGAGCGGTGATGCGATCAACATTCTTAATGAGAGCTGCTTGAGTCAAATCGTCGTCACTAACACTGTCCCCCTCGGCGACAAGGTAGACCGGTGCAGCAAGCTACGCGTTATTGACGTCAGCCCTACACTGGCCGAGGCTATTCGACGAACGCACAACGGAGAGAGTGTCAGGTAAAACAATATTCCAACCTCTCTTGAACCCGTTCAACAGCTTGACTAACATGACCATAGTTTTCTCTTCAACCACGCTCCCGCTTAGGAGTAGGGATGTGGATGTTTGAGGTTTGTAACAGAGAAACAGGGAAAAAATGGTTTGAGTAGACGATACTTGTTTGTGTTAGAGATTGCTTTTGGTGGCGTCCTATCGGGTTTTTGTTGGCGTTCATGGTACAGGAACTATCAGCACAAGGTTGCGCGTACGGCATCATTGCATATAAATTATCCCAAGACATTTAGGTTTCGAGGATGTGTTGAACCTGTCTTCACATAGGGAGAGATAAATGTATCTACGAAGAGGTTTTAGGATGGAATTATGTTGCATGAGTGTGCTTATTTTGCATATGCGGGCAGATTCAAAACTGGCAGACAAAATCATGGCGTTTGGGTGGTCAGAATACCCTGATCTAGAGAGAATGGGGGACACATAAAGAGAACAATTCACATATGGAATACCTTAATCAATTGCTGCAATAAAGTAAAGAGAAAATGCTGTTTTGGGAATCTCAATATCGTTTCATTTTTTGGCGGCCGCCGGGAAATACACTAAAGCCATTGATTTGGCCTATCTAAAGCCACTACTCGTGGCTATCCCGTAATGCCTGCCATAGCCATGATTTTCATGCCGAAATGCAACAACCAGAAGACACCGACCGAACGCCTGGAAGCATCTACTTGCGCATGGAGCTTGCTCTTCTCTTACGGGCATCAGCCTTGGATGAGCGGGCCTCGGCGACACGCTTAGCCAGGATCTGGGCATACTCGCTCTGTGAAGGGAATTGTTAGTTAGGGACAATACTAGGGCAATTCGTAGGGTTGGAAGACGTACGGCCTCATCCTTGACCTTCTCGGCTTGGCGGCGCTTGAGCGCAATGCGGTAGCGCTTGTGCTGGAGACGCTGGGGAGTGACCAGTCTCTGGATACGGGGAGCCTTGGTGTAAGGCTGCTTGCCCTCGCCCTTGGGCTGGACTTCACGTCGGATAACGTACTTTCGGAGCTATTCAACAGAATGGGGAAGAACCCAGCATATTAGCCATCCCGTTCTCCCATATCTTTGTAGTTTTGTTGTCCTCTCAGACTCTACTTCGACGGTTACACTGCTAGGGATTCTTCTCTCTCATCCCGCAGAAGCAACGGCCGAGTAGGTGATGACGAGTGTTGCAGTGCTACTTACATCGTCATCCTTGCTGAGGCCGAAGAAGCGGCGGATCTTGGTGGCACGCTTGGGACCGAGGCGCTTGGGGTGGACGACGTCGGTGAGGCCGGGCAGCTCGTTCTCGCCCTGCTTGACGATGGAGAGGGCTAGGACAGCCAGGTCCATGCCGACGATGCAGCCACGGACCGACTTTCGCTTGCGCTCACCGGCGCGGCGGGGTCGGTAGCAGGAGTGGCCTTCGGAGAGGAGGAGGCGGACACGGGTCGGGTGCAAGACACCCTGCTTCATGGGGAAACCCTGCTTGTCGTTGCCACCGGTGATGCGGAAGATGTAGCCCTTGAACTCATCACCGAGATTGTCGCCGGGGACTTCCTGGCCCATCTGATAACACCACTTCGTTAGCATCCCCATTCACGTCCTGGATTTGGCATTGTAGCATATATTGTCTGTTCTTCGGAGTCGAGAGGATTCGCACGATGTCTGTGGCCAGAGGGCTCTCCAGGCTTGCGTCTGAAGGCCGTGATCCTCCTCTCGGCTCGATGAAACGCTCGCTACTATCGAGGGTCGGGAAGAAGGGCGGCACCGGCAGACGGCCAGCGGTGGAAAACGTACTCGCTTCTCCATGAAGTCGCGGAGCTTACGCTCATCTTCGATCTCGATCAACTTCTGACTGCCATTGGCAGGGTAAGAGATGTTCAGCTTCATCTCGGCGGTGGGTGTTGGCGATCGACTTTGGGTGACGGGGATTGAGAGAGGAAGTCAATTCGTGACCGAGAACTGCCAGAGATAATCGAGCCTTGGTTGTGCTTAGTTTTCCTCGCTAATCCTAATTTTTCACTGGGCCCAGCACAAAAAAAGGTGGGATGGC